TCTCATCATCCCTCACTATAGTGCCTATGTTGATTAGGATGATAGGAGTCACAGCTCCAAAGCATCTGGAGGACCATACATGCCCCATCCCTGCTTTAGAACACAGAGTAGTGGTAAATGGTTGTTAATAGCAGAAATATGAACATTACCAAGGATTGCAGGATTTGGTCTTAAAAGATGAGACGGAGGTTGCAGCTACATTACAGGTAGTGCTCAAGACAGCTCATTTTTGAATAGGTCAGGCGTGATTAGATTGAGAAACCTGGCAGGGCAAAGAAAATATTTCTATTATTTATTTAATAATGGACATATTGCCTTGGATTAAAAAAAAAAACATTCTTTTTACTTCCCCTGTCCTCTGCTGATCAGGGGAAGTAATTAATTTGCCAGCAGACTGCAGTGGCTTGCTTATTGAGCCACTTAACAATCTTGGCAAATTGATGGTGGAGCAATCTGGGCAATCTCACATCAAGAAGATGTGTTTATTTAGACTGATCCTTCATCATTCCAGTTACACAGTAGACTCTAATCCTAGACCAGTCTGAGATGGTTTGGAACGCTCTAACAAAAAAGGTGTAGGCAGCATTTTTAGAGTGATCCTAGCCATTCCAGCAAGAGGCTACAGAACTCATCAAACTCCAATGTAGACACCTTCTCTGCCTGATGTGGAAAAAAGAGATTTTTGCACTCAGGGACAAACTATGCATTAGCTTTAAAAGACATACATTTCTTTTTAATTCTAAAGTAATTGCAGATCACCTACTCTGGATCAGGCTGGTATTGGTGGTAGCAACCCTTATCACTCTCTCCCAGTACAGCAACAGTCCCCATTGTCTCCCACATTTACAGTTGGTATTGCCCATTCTACATTTGGCACATGTAGTGGCCCTGATCCACACTGTCAGAACATAGGTAAAAGAGCTGGATTCTGTACCCTCAGTTGACCATATTAGGACCCTGATTTGCATCAGGTTCCCTGCATATATAAAACATGTAGCTGCTACCCCTATTTGAAAAGTAATGCATGGTTATCTAAGTGTGACTTGTGTGTGTGTGTGTTTAGTCGTTTAGTCGTGTCCGACTCTTCGTGACCCCATGGACCAGAGCACGCCAGGATTTCCTACTCCAGGTGGATTGCGTTTAGTCGGAACTCTCCACTATGTCCTGTCCGTCTTGGGTGTCCCTGCACGGCATAGCCCATAGTTTCTCTGAGTTACTCAAGCCCCTTCGCCACGACAAGGCAGCAATCCATGAAGGAGATCTAAGTGTGACACTGCACTGCAAAAGTAGTTCCTACCTCTGTGACAAGTATAGCATCTAAGTGCTTTCCAAGCTTCATCATCACATTCACAACAGCCAGGTCAGGTAGATCAGTATTCTTCCATTTGAATGGATAAAAATAAATAAATATTGAGGACCAATAATCTGCTCAGTGTATTAATACTAATTTTTGTAACAATTTGCCTTCTTAGCAGCAACAGGAATGAGTTGATAGTAAGCTAGAAATACAAGTAAGTTTCGGACATCAAAGGCAAGATCATGTGCAATCCACATTTTTCCTTCCTTTCTTTTTAAAATAAAACTTCTGCTTCTACCCCTGGCTCCTTGCCCAGCATTCAGTCCAATGTGACATTGAACTATTACAAGTGGTGCCTCGCTTAGCGATCGCTCCGTTGAGCGATAAATTCGCATAGCAAGGGGGTCTGGGCCATCGCTGGAGCGTTCGCTCAGCGATGGCCCCTATGGCGTTTTTTGCACAATGAAGCGGGGGAGAACAGCTGATCGGCGGTTCCAAAATGGCTGCCGCAACTTTTCCCGCCGCGCCCTCGCTTACCGAGGGCGCGAAAATGGCCGCCCCTATGGAGAAGCTTCTCTCAACGGTAAGTTTAGGGCCCATTGGATTTAATGGATTTTTTTGTTCCATTGAGCGATGTTTCCCATAGCGAGGGTTAATCCGGAACGGATTAACCCTCGCTATGCGAGGCACCACTTACTTGAAAAAGCTAGCATTCTATAAATCTGGGTGTATTGGGTTCTTGCAGCAAAAACAACTAAATCAGTATGAGTGGTGATATGTAAGGCTTACGTGCTAACAAATTAATAGTGGCAAAGAGTTTTGCAGGCAGGAGCTAAGTTCTTTTCCAATGAGCAATACCAGCGTCGACAAACCACTTGTGAACTGTTAGCATAGAAGCAAGGGGAGTGGAGAACCTTTGGCCTTGTAAGACATTGTTGAATGCCCAACTTCTGCAACCTACATGATCGTTTGAGAGCTGTAATACTACAATATTAGGGGATGGGGTGCATAGATTCTATGCCCTGCTATTCACAAAATCCACTTTAGCCCATTGCTCCAGCTCTTAACAGACTGCCATGAAAACAGATCTGATGTTCCAGTATTGGCAGTGTCTTATTTTCAGTTTGAGAGGAACTGAACGGCAGTTGGGAAGAGCCATTCTTCACAGGTAGAGCTCTTGCTTTGCATACAGAAATTCCTTGGCTTTGGCTGCCCCAGGCAGTCACAACTCACTATCAGTCTTGAAAGGAAGTTCTTAATTCTACATGTGCTGTGTGGGTCTCAGGCTGTGAGAAGGGAAATGCACTCTGTGCATTAATGGTTCCCAAACATTGGGGCCTAGATATTCCCAGACTGCAACTCCCAGAGATTCTGTTCATTGACTGTGTTAACTAGGACTTCTGGGAGTTGTAGTCCAAAAATATCTGGGGGCCCAACTTTGGGAACCTTTGTTGTACATACTGAGAAGAGCCAGAGTGATTGGCCCAAGTGGCCAGTTTGTGTCATGGCTCAGTGGGGACTAGAACCTAGAATTTTTAAGACCCAGTCTGAAGGTTGTTGTGGGTTTTTTTTTGTGTCATGGCTCAGTGGGGACTAGAACGTAGAACTTTCAAGACCCAGTCTGAAGTTTTCATAGCAACATCACTGGCTCTCGGAATCTGTGGCAGTGGCTTGTTGTTTGCTGGGTGCCAGGATGTGCCCCCCTCCCGGCGAGAAGAGATTATCTGTCACTGTGGTTGATGAGTGTCATTAGCTGGTCTGAAGTTTTCATAGCAACATAACTGGCTCTCAGAATCTGTGGCACTGGCTTGTTGTTTGCTTGGTGCCAGCATGTGCCCCCCCCCCTGAAATCTAAGCCCTCTGGCTTCTCCTTGGATCAAGTAGCATCCTCAGATTATGAATCCAGTTAGAGCCATCTGCAAACCAAGAACTGGCATAGACCTCAAGTGTGGAAGTAGAAAGCCCCAGCACATTGCTTTTCTGTTTCACTGTTTGGGTTTCCATTTAAAGGGAAAGATATTTTTGGAAAAATGAAAAATGCTTTTAGAGGGAAAATGTGCAAAGAAACGAAAAAAAGAGCATATTGTCATCTGCCAGGGTCTGTAATCAACATACCTTAAAATTGCCCACCACGCCACCACCCTACTAGATAGTAAATTTACCTACACAGCTCATTTAATGAGTCCTGTGTAGGTGGGATATTTCAACAATGATATGTGCAACTATAGTCAGAAGTACATTAGGAAAAGCGTTTTTAGTGTAGAAAGTATTTTCGCAGTTGAACCTTGGGTGTCCTCTTTGGGAGATTTAGGTCAGCGGATGGGACACTTATAGCCAACCAAATTAATTACTCCCAGCATTCCTAACTGTTAAGAATACTGAGCAGAGCTATCACATAGAATTGTAAATGTATTCTGTACCTGTGACTGGTTCATTCACACATGCATGCAAAGCATTAATTTCTCAAGACTGGAGACTGAATCTGTGAATTGCCTCTGGCATTTGAGATGATCAGAAACCAGTCTGTCATTTTAGATTTACAATAGCATATTTGCACATACATGTTGTCACTTGATGCTGTACCCATCAAGTGAAAGAACCAGCCCTGAGATCGTTTGGGTCAATAAACTGAAGCATGGGAACTTACATCTCTTTTATGTCTCCCATTCTATCTGCCTTCTGGTGATAGGGTTTGATCTTCCTATTATAGATAAGGACACATTTAATTTATTTTTGTTTACTACTGGCTTCAATGGCTAGAGCAGTGGAAAGCTCCTAGCAGTGCAGGTTTGCACCTATCTACTCACACATAAGTCTCACTGGGTACATTCCTGTTGTGCAGCTGCACAAAAGACATAACTTTGAGGGGCTAATTGCCTAGAGTTAAGAAACTTCCATTCTGTCTGTTCCGCCTTGAGTTGTGCAGCTCAACAAATAGCTGATGTCTGCAAGCAATTCTTGCCATGTAACACATAATGTCTGCAAAGATTTCTTAATGTGAGCTAATTCACCTCTAAGAATGGTGCTTTGTTTATAACTATATCAGGATTCCAAACACTGGATTCAATGGGGCCTGGTCCCAGAAGAGTGAGCGTAGGGTTGCAACTAAAGGCTGTATTTGCATTAATATTCTTTGTCATTTTGCTTTTATCCCTGCTTGAACTGATACAGACGTTGTTCATTTCCATCTCCTGGAACTACAGACTTCAAATTTTATTCTTCTTAAAACATCGGCTGAATTTGCACGACTTCAGTTCAGATAAATCCCAATAAATTGGGTGCAATGTACCAAAACAGTGTCCTAAAAAAGAGGGAAATCTCAAGATTGGATGGTGAAATAGTTACATTTTGTGTGCATGACGAGATTATCTTTAAAAATTCATTTTTAATATAGCAAGGTGGGTTTAAAAGAAAAAAAAACTTGGGCCGGCAACAAACAGGCATAAAATAGACCTCAAATCTGGCATAGGACTTGGGTCTCCTAGCTCTAACGTGATTCTTTCTCTGCAACTTGTTATATATTTTATATTCTGTAGGCTGGCCGATACTTGGAATTATAATAAAAATATGGTATATAAAACGTCCAGGTTGTGTTCTGGATGCGGGGGGGGGGGGGGAGCTCCTTGGCAGGGGTCTCCTTGGGACTGACAGTCCTTTTGTCCTACTCAACTCATCTCTTCTCCGCCCTTCCTTTAACTTTTAGGTGGCACCCAGACCCAAAGACGTCGACCAGCAACGCTGGATGAGAATTCTACCATTGCCTAGAGTTCACTGACTCCACTGGCAATATGGATTTTGTGATGAAGCAAGCCCTAGGGGGTAAGTGTTTCCTTCCTACCCACAACCTTCTGAAGGTAGCCCATTTCGCCATGCCTTGGCTACTGAATCTCAATAAATATGCCGGGCTTTTGTCTTGGTCAGAAACCTGTGAGCTCCCTTTTCCTGCCTTGTATGTTTCTGCTCATTTGACTCTAAATAAATAGACTTCGCAGGTTTCTATATTGTCTCAAACACCTGCAGAAAGCTATATGGATTTTTCTGCTTAGCAACAAAATGTGAGTAAAAGGGAGCAGAAACAATAGAATCATGTCAAGAAAAAGGACATAGGGACATTTTAATGCCTTTGACGCCATACTAGAACCTAGGATCATCTACTGAAAATAAATGGTGGGAAGGTCAGAACAAATTTAAAAAAGCTATTTCTTTATGCAGCACAGTGCTAATCTGTGGAATTCATTGCCACATGATCTTGGGTTAGCTACCAGGATGAATGTCTTTAAAAGGAGGGTAGATGAAGTCATGGAAGATAAGACTATGAAGAGCTGCTGTGTCTATGTCTGTTTTTGATAGGGCTATATTATTCCCCCAATATCGGAGGTAGCATGCCTCTAGATACCAGTTGTTGAGAATACAAGCAGCAACACTCTCATTTCCTGCTAGTGATCACTCTGTAGGCACTTGGCTAGGGACAGTATGACCTCAATGCTTGGCTAAAGGGGCTTCCTGTCTAGCACAGAAGAACCTTACTTGTACTCTTAATTTATCAGAGGAAACAGTGGAATAAATAAAAATGTATCATGGGAAGTGACACCAACCTGAAATCACTGCCAACTCTGAACAGATAAATACTGTTGTCTGCCCCAGTCCTTGAGAGAAACTCATCATCTATGGAGCTTGTTCTTTGTCAAAAATTTGGAGCTTAAATCTATACGGGAAAACCTGATTTTTTTCATTAGTTTTCAGTGTATGTGTAATCTGACATGGACTTCTCTGGTTCATAAAGCACAGACTGAGCTTACTTCATCTTGCTTGGCTTCGCCATGCAGCCTGACTGACTCAAAGCACTTTGTCCATAAACGTGATGATGCCAAACCATGATATGCAATCTGTGGAGGGATCTGGGAGTTGAATCTAGTTCCCCATCCCATCATGTTTTCCCACATCTGCTGTATACAGATATCAAGCCGGAGACAATGGACAAGATTCTATTTATTGGACATCACTTTCCCTTTTGCATGTTGCAAATATTTTGCCTTTACCCAAAATTAACACAATACAGTATGTGTACCTAGTTCAGGAACTTTACTAAAGAGTCCCCTGCCAAAAAAGCTCAGAGCTTGGAAGTGGTATTTATTTACACAGGAGCTAGAGGGGGTAAAAATACATAATAGCAGTACAAACATGTCTCCTCAGGAGCAAATCCCACTGGGTCTAATGGGATTTGCTCCCATGCACATAGGTTTAGGATTGCTGCCCTTAATATCTTTCGTTGGTGGCTTTTCTCCTCTCTCAAGCATGGTATTGTTTCCTCCTCGACAATCAGCCGAGGTGACTAAGACCAACTGTTGGGCTTGGTGCTCCCTTTGTTACAACCTGTCCTCTTGCTGATCACCTCAGCTCCATGTCCACTTTAACTCTGTGCAGGTGAGGACAATAGAAAAGAGCAGCATGTGTCCTGCAACATTTTGCTGCCTGAGGTGGAGGAGCTAAAGTCACCAGTTGGTGCACCTGGACCTAGGGGTCAGGAATTCAAATCCCTATTGTTCCTCCAGGATAATAACTTGCTTGTGTGCTTCTTAATAGGCTACGTGGTTCTTAACCTTGCGTTACTCAGGTGTTTTTGAACTGCAACTCCCAGAAACCTCAGCCAGCAGAGCTGATGGTAAAGGCTTCTGGGAGTTGCAGTCCAAAAACATCAGAGTAACAAAGATTAAGGACCAGTGGGCTACATGATTCCAGACATCTTGAGAAGAAGGAATGAGTAAGGCATTTCTAACTACTCTATGCCTAGGAAACCCTCAGAAGGGGTGCCATAAGGCAGAATTGACTTGACGACACACAGTTGTTGTTGTTGTTGTTGTTGTTGTTGTTGTTGTTGTTGTTGTTGTTGTTGTTGTTGTTAATTAGCTTTCAAGGTTACTTAGGTATTATTAACACAGGTAAGGAAAATTTGAGATGTTCATAACATGAACTCTGTGGCAAGAGGTAAGTGACCTGCATTTTCAGAATGTGAACCTTCAGCGAGTGATTGATTGTTTTGAGATCAGACGCCTGGTGTGGTGATGGGCATGGACCAAGTAGACTGAGAAACAGACCATGACGCCTAGCAATGAGCTTGCACTACAAAAATGAAATAAAAAACAAATCTAGTAACTAACCCAATGAGAGCTAAAAATTGTTCCCTGGCGTCAGCCATCTCATCCTGCCAAAGTGTAATCCAAATACTCATCCCCATCTTTCACTGACTTATCATCCTGTGAGGCACTGGGCTGATTTATTTGCCTTCCAGAAAACATTCCTGCCCTTGGAGCCTGGTTCATCAAACCAGATTTCCACTTCCAGGAACACGAAATCAAAAAATGGCTTGGTGGGGAAAAGCTTTATCCACCCTTGCATCTTGAACAGAGCAATCATAATCAGATCCTTGATTATTCCGGCTTATGGGACTCTCCCTTTATCCTTGATATTCTCCCCATCCCCAGCTATTCAATTTTTAACCCAAGACAGTTTCAGTTCTGCCAAGGATTGTGACATCACCTCTGTGTCACTTTTGCAAAGCACAAGGATTTTAAACATGGTTTGGGTTGGAGCCGGTGGGAGATTGCAAGATAAGGAAGATGGGGCTAGCTCCTCTCAGAGGCCACAGTGACACCATTCAATTTATTACCTGTGATAGCAAGGCGAGATAATGAAGCAGGCAGGATATTTGCCCTTGACTGAACTATACGGATGTTTGTTGTCATTTTTTGGAGCAGGCAGTGCAAGCAGATTAAAAGTGCTTCGAATTCACCACTCATAGCAGAGCCCTGCCCTACTCAGAAGTAGATCCCACTGAGTTCCATGGAATCAGGTTATTCTGTGTCCCAAATCTCTAATATCCTACATGCTGTGACTCAAGGTCACACTCTCAGATATGGATTCTTTCTCCCTTGTTCCAAACACCTAGGGCTTGATTGTAGTTATTGAGAGGTTACAGGCGCTCTGCACACGTGTAGTGGCACTGCTGTCATACTTGCAGTTTCACAAAAACATGGCAAGAGTGTTAAAACTTTTTTAAAAAAATACTGCCCATATATACATACTATCCGGACATACCTGTGTTGAAATCTTTGCTTGCTTTGTCATTGTTGATTTGGTTTGGTTTTTTTGCCCCCTGTTCTAGATCCTGAATAGGAAACTAGATCTAGCAAAGGGCCCTGCCAGGCACTCTTTGAGATGCGTCCTGTGCCAATGTGGTTCTTGGCTTTCTTATTTCAGTTTTCACAGCCAATAGGAAATTATGCCAGTGCATTTGGTTTGCAATTTACATTTTACAAAAGGGCTGGATAAGATGATGCAGCCATAGACCTAGACTCCTCTCCTACATTTTCTCCACCCTTAGATGACCAGAATCCAACCACACCTCATCAAAGCAAACCTACTGCCCTCCAGCCAAGGACTGCATATTCCCCTTGTGGTTGGCAAAGCAAAAGGCACAGCAACCACTGGTTGGCACAGCTGGGGCAAAAATAGGTCTCCCTTCACACATGCACACATAGAAGCAGCCAGGTGGGCAGGCATTCACGAGTTGGTCTTGTAGCAGTCCCATGAAAGTAGAGTTTTTATTAGTAATTGTAAAAAGTGGTGGGCAGATTTCCATAAATTTGTCTTTCTTTTTCATTCCTTTTGCTACTCTCATTTTGCATGTCAGTCTTTCATTGAGGGCAACTGACCATATTCAGTTCATCCAAGTATCAATGGACAAACCATCCAAATTTTTCCACTTTTGAGACGATTTCATTCTTGCAGCTGCTAAGAATGTTATGATCAATTATTTACTCAATATAGGACTGTTATTATGTAGAAATTGGTAAGAGACAATAATCTATTGTCTAACTAGTTGTCTCATTTAGAATTGAGACAACACTCTTCCAGTATTGTATTATGGGAAGACACTTCAACCATAGATGGCTATATGAGGCATATTAACCATGTCCCCTCCATCATATGCTGGATGTTTGTTGTTAGATTTACATAATTTAGGAGGGGTTAAATATCACAAGTGTACGAGGTTTAATGTGTTTTTACGGAACTGGACAGAAACTGATTTTAAAAGGAACACTGACCAAATCGTTACCCAATGAGAATCCAATATAGAAGAATTAAGATCTGTTTCCCATATAATTTTTAATTCTTTTCCATGTGTGTTTTCTAATAGCCATTCATTCTGATGCCTATCCTCTAGTTGTATCAGCAGATAAAACACAAAGTTCTTCATATGCGTTAAGTGATCTTGATGGTCCTGGGTGTGCATTTAATGCATAAGAAAACTTTCCACCTGGAACTCTTAATACCAAAAAAGATTGCTACCTTGATTGCTGTCTGGATTATCTCTATTCATTATGATTGGAATGGGGTCATACCCATTGGTATTAATAAATACTAGTCTAGATTATAAGGGACACAAAGGTGCTTCCGAAATTAAGCTTGGCCAGCAATGTAATCAAATGCCTTTAAAGCATCAAGTGTGAATAGCAGTAATTTTATATGTAGATGACAATGGTAGATTACATTAAATGCCCTCCTAAACTGTATTGGCAGGTTGGTGACTAGGCATAAAACCTGATTGTTCTTTGGAGATATATATTGTAAGAAAATTATTAATTCTTTTTGCCAAAATTTTCATGAAGATCTTAAGGTCCTGAGTCAGCAATGAGATAAGTCTGTAGGTAGTCAATTGGATATGATCCCCCTCCTGGTTTTAAAACTGTCACAATCCTAGCTTGCAACCAACCAGTTGACATAGATCCCCTAGACAGTATATCACTTGATAAAGATGG